TTTTACCAATTGTTCGGTGCAGGTTTGGTTATGTTATGCTCGATCATGTCTATAATACAAGGGGTTAGAGAAAGAGCCAATGGAAGTGAAATTAATCTTTGTAGGTACATGAAAATACCAGCAATGTTATAACTTCAATTAGGTGCCGTGAAGTGACTAGTGCATCTTAGTTGGAAAATGGAAGAAATACAATCTCAATCTGATAATTATAGATCTTCATCGTCTTCAGCAAGTAGTCCGGCAAGCAGGGTGCCCTCCAGTAATTTTTTCTACTTACGAAAACCTGGTTCACTCAGGCAACCAATATCATTTGAGGATTCACCAGACTGGGGGGATACAGATATTGAAGGTAGGGTGGAGGAAGGAGGTGACTCTATCAATGCTGCGACTACTCCGGCCTCTCCGTCTCTCTCAAAGCTTAATAGTGGGTCATTGCCTTCTCCGCCTTTACCGGAAGGTGTAATTGTTGCAAGAAAGATTGCTGGGGCTTCTGTTGTGTGGAAGGATTTGACTGTTACTGTAAAGGGAAAGAGGAAATACTCCGATAAGGTTGTGAAAAGTTCAAATGGGTATGCATTACCAGGAACGATGACTGTAATCATGGGTCCTGCCAAGTCTGGGAAATCAACACTTTTGAGAGCGCTTGCAGGTTTGTTGTATTCAATTAATTGTCAATACTAAAGGAGCATTCAGGCATGCATTTTTGTTGCGTTTGTTCTTTTAGTTCAAACCTAAAAACATTTTCTTTTTAATTTAGGGAGGTTGCTTGATCCAGCCAAAATGTATGGCGAGGTCTTTGTGAATGGGGCAAAAACGTGTATGCCATACGGGTCTTACGTAAGTTCTAATCAATGCCACTTATGATTGAATCATTATGCATATTCATTTAGTTTCTCGTATTGTCTCTATATAAGCTATTGTCTTGATTTGGTATTTTTAAGAACAAAGTTCTCTGGATTTTTCTTGGTTTTATATGGGATATTTCACCCTTTGTTCTATTCAAAAACCCACATCCTAAAACTTTCTAAAAGTTACTATAGAAATAAATAAAGTAGGCCATTATTGCTATCTTAGTACCAAGAAATTAAGTTTTGATCAGTAGATGAAGTTCTATTATTCTCTCCTTATTACTTTGCTTGATATGCAAAGTTCATGGCTTGGATTTGATAACTTGTTTTTTTCCATGTTTCTAGGTCGTTGCTTTAAACCCTTGTCTTGCCATGTTATTATAGGCCAGGTTTTACCTTTTGACATTCATATTCTTCCTTGGTTCATTAGTTCTTAAAATGGTGAAATTTAAATTCTAGGGAACTTGTCGTAATACTATGTTTAGGAGTGGTTAGGCTTCGTAGGATAAGATGAAGTCCATAATTTTAGATAGTATCAGATTTGATTGACGGAATATTTTGAGATTCTTGTTGACTTAAATTGTAATTCTTTGTTTAGCAATGGGTAGGCTTCGTCGTGATAACTACGGAAAGATTAGAGACTCACCAATTTTCTTAGAGAGTAATGCTCATCCTTCCGATGGTGATTGCTTACCAGGGATTCGTAGGAATTCCTTTTGAGTAAAACCCAGGTGATTGTTACTAGTAGCCTCATTGCCAAAGTACTTTGTACCACCCTGTTCTAAGGACTGGGCTTTGTATCCTGCTAGCAACTTGGCAGGGTGCAGTGGGAACCAAGATGTAGTTTTGCATAACAAGAAAACCTTGTAGTCTATTGTATTTGAGGTCCTTTTATTACCTCCTCTAGGGGGAGGCACAGGTGGTTTGACTGTTAACAAATATTGCGGAAAAATTATAGTCCCCTTATTTTGGGGCACTAACTTTTTGGCCGACCAGTTTTTTTTTTTTTTTTTTTTTTTTTTTTGGGGGGGGGGGGGGTAAGAAGTGGGGAGGGAGACAAAAGAAGGTCGTGTTGTGGTTTCTTTGGGTTATGACCGTATGACTGTACTAATATCTACCGTTCGACAAGTTAGTATTAATTTATCAAGTGCTTCCCATGTAATATAGCTCAAGAAGTTTATTCATGGCTTCTCCCATGTAATATTACAAGTTTGAATCCATGTGTGTTGTCAACACCCTATCACCTATTTATATTAGGTTGATATTGAAGACAATTACAATATTAGCAAAGTAGAATACAATAGGAAAACCATATAATAGGAAAGTAGAACAATAGGAAAGTAATATAATAGAAAAGGTAAAATAATAGGAAAATAACCTTTCAACACTTCCTCTCAAGCTGGAGCATAGAGATAAAAATTCCTAGCTCAGAATAGAGGCTGCTAAAGGTGGACCGTGCCAATGGTTTGGTGAGAAAATCATTGAGTTTACCATAATATTTCCACGTAAACAATAAGGATGATAAACCAAGATTTGGGTGACTGTTTCAAACCAGGGACTTCTTTAGTTGGCACACACTACCACGATACTATCCCTGGGCAACAAATCCAGGTGATTGCTTCATGTGAAGCGATGATTGCTTCATGTGAAGTCTAAGACTTTCGTTTGATTCTCTAGAGAAGGAATTAACAGCCACACCAAAACAAGCAATAACAAACGGCGATCACGACAACACAAAGGAAAAGAACACGGCGACACCAAAGGACAAAGATAACAACATAGAGGGAAAAAGCACAATTGAAAAAATTGAACCAGAATTGAAGCGGGATGAAAACTACTAAACTAGCACTAAAGTCTAGTGAACCAAAACTAAAACGGGCTGAAAACCAAAAGCTAATTCGAGATGACAACCTACTAAACCAACATTAAATTGGGCCAAAAATCAATGAAGCAACACTAAGTAGGGTTGAAAACATTAACCCAGCATTTAAAATGGGATGAAAACACTAAAATTCGATCGAAGATCAGTCACTGAAAACACAGACATGAATTCAGGCATTCCATAATAAGTGATAATGATCACAATAGTTGATGAACACATGTAGACAACTATAACTTGATGTGTGATGGGCTTCCCCAACCACTGGGTGAGTGAGATACTCTTTCTAGGGTCGGGTCCCGCCCATCCAAGTATCTTGCTCGGATACCAAGTTGAAATTTAAATAATTATATGATAGAGTTAAGGAAAATAAAGAAAGAGGAAGAAGAATAGATATTGAATTTATCAATTTATATTAGATTGATATTGATGACAATTACAATATTAGGAAAGTAGAACACAATTGGAAAGTAATATAATAGGAAGGTAAAATAATAGGAAAATAGAAAAAAGTGGAATGGAGAAAATAGAAAAAACTCAATATCTTTTTATATGCGAATGAAGAACCTCTCTCTCTCCCCCCCGCCCCCTCCTTCTCCGCCTTNACAACTATAACTTGATGTGTGATGGGCTTCCCCAACCACTGGGTGAGTGAGATACTCTTTCTAGGGTCGGGTCCCGCCCATCCAAGTATCTTGTGTGATAAAGTAGAAAAACAGGTGTTAGCCTGTGTAGGAATAATGAGACGATTCTTTTTGTGGGGGTTAGGTTGGCATTTGGAAATTTCTTTATGTGAACAAAATAATGTGACCTTTGGTTTGCTTGTCAATGAATTTTTTTTTTTTTTTTCTGGTAGACAAATCGTCCTTTGCGACATCTTGCTTCATTCACACATCACAACTTTTTAATTTCTGGATGGAAGATGACATTTCTATTTGGCGTTGTTGAGTATATTAATTTGAGACGTGATATTGTTTTGCAATATGTAGGGATTTGTTGAGAGGGAGACCACACTAATTGGATCCCTGACTGTGCGTGAGTTCCTTTACTACTCGGCACTGCTTCAGCTTCCTGGTTTCTTTTGTCAGAAAAAGAGTGTGGTAGAGGATGCAATCCTTGCTATGTCGCTAGCTGATTATGCAAATAAACTCATAGGCGGCCATTGTTACATGAAGGGCCTTCCCAGTGGTGAGAGAAGGCGTCTCAGCATTGCTAGGGAGCTTGTGACGAGACCACGCATCTTATTTATAGATGAGCCTCTGTATCATCTGGATAGGTTTTTTTTCAATCTTCTTACCTTGATTTAGATTTGGAATAGCACTGCATGGAATTTGGTATTTGTGTCCTTACCGATTCACGGTGCATGACTGCATAAACAACCTACTGACTGCATAGCCCAAGTGTAACAAACAAGTAAAGGCAGCTTAGTTGTCAAGTTGTGCATGTCATTCAGTCTTTGCCCTGTGTCTTGAATGATATCGTGGCTGTCATTACCGTCGGAGTTGAATAAGTGTGATAGTCACGAATTTAAAGACTGGAGTGTAAATTTTTCAAATTTTATCTTCTGCCTTAACTCTAATAGTCATCATTCCGATGGGATGTATATTTTCCAGTGCGTAATTGCATAATTTATCGTGCCTTAGGATGTATATGGTGCATCATGTAATTTAGCTACTTTGAGAAGATGCGAAAGTGACAGTTCATGGTTATTCTAGAGAGTGATCAGATTATATGTTATTTTTCCCTCTTGAATGCCTTTAATCCATGGAATTCAAATTATCTTTGCCAAAGTCTATAACATCAAATAAAAAAATAGTATCTGGATTGGTTCCCCTTGTTGAAGGGTGTGCTGGGTACACTTTTAACCTTTGGCATTACTTTTTTAATGTGGTAGCCCCCAGATTCAAGCCCATAATTGTGCAGTTGCAACAACTGGAGTCTAGTTTATCATAATTTTGGTTTTTNTTTATGTGAACAAAATAATGTGACCTTTGGTTTGCTTGTCAATGAATTTTTTTTTTTTTTCTGGTAGACATANGTTAGGTTGGCATTTGGAAATTTCTTTATGTGAACAAAATAATGTGACCTTTGGTTTGCTTGTCAATGAATTTTTTTTTTTTTTTTCTGGTAGACAAATCGTCCTTTGCGACATCTTGCTTCATTCACACATCACAACTTTTTAATTTCTGGATGGAAGATGACATTTCTATTTGGCGTTGTTGAGTATATTAATTTGAGACGTGATATTGTTTTGCAATATGTAGGGATTTGTTGAGAGGGAGACCACACTAATTGGATCCCTGACTGTGCGTGAGTTCCTTTACTACTCGGCACTGCTTCAGCTTCCTGGTTTCTTTTGTCAGAAAAAGAGTGTGGTAGAGGATGCAATCCTTGCTATGTCGCTAGGTGATTATGCAAATAAACTCATAGGCGGCCATTGTTACATGAAGGGCCTTCCCAGTGGTGAGAGAAGGCGTCTCAGCATTGCTAGGGAGCTTGTGACGAGACCACGCATCTTATTTATAGATGAGCCTCTGTATCATCTGGATAGGTTTTTTTTCAATCTTCTTACCTTGATTTAGATTTGGAATAGCACTGCATGGAATTTGGTATTTGTGTCCTTACCGATTCACGGTGCATGACTGCATAAACAATCTACTGACTGCATAGCCCAAGTGTAACAAACAAGTAAAGGCAGCTTAGTTGTCAAGTTGCGCATGTCATTCAGTCTTTGCCCTGTGTCTTGAATGATATCGTGGCTGTCATTACCGTCGGAGTTGAATAAGTGTGATAGTCACGAATTTAAAGACTGGAGTGTAAATTTTTCAAATTTTATCTTCTGCCTTAACTCTAATAGTCATCATTCCGATGGGATGTATATTTTCCAGTGCGTAATTGCATAATTTATCGTGCCTTAGGATGTATATGGTGCATCATGTAATTTAGCTACTTTGAGAAGATGCGAAAGTGACAGTTCATGGTTATTCTAGAGAGTGATCAGATTATATGTTATTTTTCCCTCTTGAATGCCTTTAATCCATGGAATTCAAATTATCTTTGCCAAAGTCTATAACATCAAATAAAAAAATAGTATCTGGATTGGTTCCCCTTGTTGAAGGGTGTGCTGAGTACACTTTTAACCTTTGGCATTACTTTTTTAATGTGGTAGCCCCCAGATTCAAGCCCACAATTGTGCAGTTGCAACAACTGGAGTCTAGTTTATCATAATTTTGGTTTCTTTAAAAGTCGAAGGCAAGTTAAGAGGCAAAATATCAAGGTTCCTTGACAAATATTGGAATGTTTAAAGTTTTGAGAATCTGTTGTTTTTTATCAGAGTAATAAATTGATCTGTTAGGTCAACCTAACAAAGAAATTTCAGAATTGTTGTCTCTTTTGTCACCAAGGGATCAATAAATAATTATGCCATTTAAATACTAACTAATAATGCTGCCTTTTAATTTTTGATCTCATCTCTAAAAGGAATTGGCTGGGTGAACTGTGGGGTTGATGATGTCCTTTGTGAAATTCAGTGTATTAGGTCCCAGCTTGTATGAATACACATTAATTTCTGCCTTCATTTTTNAACATCAAATAAAAAAATAGTATCTGGATTGGTTCCCCTTGTTGAAGGGTGTGCTGAGTACACTTTTAACCTTTGGCATTACTTTTTTAATGTGGTAGCCCCCAGATTCAAGCCCACAATTGTGCAGTTGCAACAACTGGAGTCTAGTTTATCATAATTTTGGTTTCTTTAAAAGTCGAAGGCAAGTTAAGAGGCAAAATATCAAGGTTCCTTGACAAATATTGGAATGTTTAAAGTTTTGAGAATCTGTTGTTTTTTATCAGAGTAATAAATTGATCTGTTAGGTCAACCTAACAAAGAAATTTCAGAATTGTTGTCTCTTTTGTCACCAAGGGATCAATAAATAATTATGCCATTTAAATACTAACTAATAATGCTGCCTTTTAATTTTTGATCTCATCTCTAAAAGGAATTGGCTGGGTGAACTGTGGGGTTGATGATGTCCTTTGTGAAATTCAGTGTGTTAGGTCCCAGCTTGTATGAATACACATTAATTTCTGCCTTCATTTCTATAACATTGGCTATACTCCTGGTTTTAACTAAAAGTTGTTTTTGATCATGGTCAGTGTCTCTGCACTTCTGATGATGGTGACATTGAAGAAGCTTGCAAGCACAGGGTGCACTCTTATATTCACCATTAACCAGAGCAGCACAGAAGTATTTGGTCTTTTTGATCGAATTTGTCTGCTTTCAAATGGAAACACTCTTTTTTTTGGAGAGACATTGGCTTGTTTGCAGGTATACATTGCATCTTGTGTTGAATGAAGAATTTGATTATGTTGTTTCCAAGCCTACTGTATACGGAGTACTTAATGTTTTGGATATATTCATTCAACTTTGTTAAAACAAAGGTAATTGTTGTCGTCATGATATAATTATCGTTATCATCACTGTCATTTACTTGATTTGTAGATGGAGGGTGTTAAGAAAATATTTATTCTTCTCATGCTCTATAATTTACATTTTTTGTTGACTTTCATCCAGCATGATAGTTGTTAAAGTTTAATGTAACTTCTGTTTTTGAAGCACTTCTCCAATGCTGGGTTTCCTTGCCCAATTATGCAAAGCCCTTCCGATCATTTTCTCCGCGCGATAAACACAGATTTCGACAGAATCATTGCGATGTGCAAAAATTGGCAGGTAATTGCTTCTGGTCATGCAACATTCTTAATTCTTATGGTCTGGACTACACTTTTGTGGTGTCAATAGGGAAAGTAATAATGTCACAGAGATAGATCCTTCAGGTTCTGATATATTGGTTTAATCTATAATTTTGAGGTTGAGTCGTAATTCACATGATCATTATTGTTGTTGTTATCAATCTTGTTGGGATTATTCTATTTGCAGAATTTTATTTTTGTGTTTTCCTGTTTTGTCCATGGCCCATGCAACTCAATTTGTAAATAATGCTCTAGATTTTGGCACAATGCTTTTCTTTCTCCTCTTTTTGGTTGTTTACTATACAAAGACTTCGTCATAATGATAGGATGACCATGGAGACTTTTCATCAGTGAATATGGACACTGCCGTTGCAATACGCACCCTTGAAGCAACTTACAAGTCATCAGCAGATGCTGCTGCAGTTGAGAATATGATTTTGAAGCTCACCGAGAAGGTACAATTGTTAATATTTGCAAGTTCTTGCCTTGTAGAAAGTTACTGTGCCTCTGTATCATCATAGAGTTACACGTGGGATGTAGCAGTACTTGTACATAATAATTTAAAAAGTCTCATCTTATTTTGAGTAGTCTAATGGTGCAATAATATTGAACAGTTTTTTCTTTCAATATCATAGAACCGTTTAGCCACATGAACTTGTGGTTATTGAGTAAACTCTAGATATGTGTAATCACCCACAAACCACATGAATCTGGTAAGCTAGGCTTTCCTGCGAGTTTGATGTAATAACCCTCAAAGTCTTCCCACCCGAGCTATCCTGATGGGTTGAATTTCTTGTTCAACAGATGCCCTTAATTAGAATTGACTTTTGGCTGTGGGTAAAGGTGTGCTATTTGCCCTTTTTTAAGGGGGAAGGGCAATTGATGTCAAGTTTCACTCTGTGGCAATGTGTTTTCCTGGCATGAATTGGCACGGCGTAGTTTTCTTTTTGAGCATATATATACTTATATATGCTCTACGGTTTAGTAATCGTACATGCTCGTCCTCTTTGTTTTGTGTGCATTTCTCTGCAGCGAACACGTATCCAGCACCACATATACAGCATGGTTTTGCTTACAAAGCTGCTTTTCTTGTGTTAAGATATCGAATATGAAGATGCAGCCATAAATTGTCTTCCTTGAGAAGCCCTTTGATCACAATCATATCGNACCACATATACAGCATGGTTTTGCTTACAAAGCTGCTTTTCTTGTGTTAAGATATCAAATATGAAGATGCAGCCATAAATTGTCTTCCTTGAGAAGCCCTTTGATCACAATCATATTGTCTGATTTTACTTGTTCTTGGAACAAATTTTTATATCTGATTTTTGTCCACATGTCTTTCGGATAGATGCACATAAATAGGTCCCATATTCAGGCCCTTGACAAGAGTCCACGAGTTGTTTATAGATTTTTTAGTGCTTGAAGTTAAGGTTTTTAGTACATGAACAATTCAAGCATGAAAGATATCGTTTCAGACATCACATGACATGGATAAGTAGAGCTGTAGAGGACATGGTCTGACANTTTGGCACAATGCTTTTCTTTCTCCTCTTTTTGGTTGTTTACTATACAAAGACTTCGTCATAATGATAGGATGACCATGGAGACTTTTCATCAGTGAATATGGACACTGCCGTTGCAATACGCACCCTTGAAGCAACTTACAAGTCATCAGCAGATGCTGCTGCAGTTGAGAATATGATTTTGAAGCTCACCGAGAAGGTACAATTGTTAATATTTGCAAGTTCTTGCCTTGTAGAAAGTTACTGTGCCTCTGTATCATCATAGAGTTACACGTGGGATGTAGCAGTACTTGTACATAATAATTTAAAAAGTCTCATCTTATTTTGAGTAGTCTAATGGTGCAATAATATTGAACAGTTTTTTCTTTCAATATCATAGAACCGTTTAGCCACATGAACTTGTGGTTATTGAGTAAACTCTAGATATGTGTAATCACCCACAAACCACATGAATCTGGTAAGCTAGGCTTTCCTGCGAGTTTGATGTAATAACCCTCAAAGTCTTCCCACCCGAGCTATCCTGATGGGTTGAATTTCTTGTTCAACAGATGCCCTTAATTAGAATTGACTTTTGGCTGTGGGTAAAGGTGTGCTATTTGCCCTTTTTTAAGGGGGAAGGGCAATTGATGTCAAGTTTCACTCTGTGGCAATGTGTTTTCCTGGCATGAATTGGCACGGCGTAGTTTTCTTTTTGAGCATATATATACTTATATATGCTCTACGGTTTAGTNTGATGTCAAGTTTCACTCTGTGGCAATGTGTTTTCCTGGCATGAATTGGCACGGCGTAGTTTTCTTTTTGAGCATATATAATCGTACATGCTCGTCCTCTTTGTTTTGTGTGCATTTCTCTGCAGCGAACACGTATCCAGCACCACATATACAGCATGGTTTTGCTTACAAAGCTGCTTTTCTTGTGTTAAGATATCGAATATGAAGATGCAGCCATAAATTGTCTTCCTTGAGAAGCCCTTTGATCACAATCATATCGTCTGATTTTACTTGTTCTTGGAACAAATTTTTATATCTGATTTTTGTCCACATGTCTTTCGGATAGATGCACATAAATAGGTCCCATATTCAGGCCCTTGACAAGAGTCCACGAGTTGTTTATAGATTTTTTAGTGCTTGAAGTTAAGGTTTTTAGTACATGAACAATTCAAGCATGAAAGATATCGTTTCAGACATCACATGACATGGATAAGTAGAGCTGTAGAGGACATGGTCTGACATTTCCACAGTTAGACATGTCTTTGTGAGAAATGAGAATGTATCTTGTTTCCCTGACAATTTGTTGTGCTGTGTATCCCTGTCCATTGTTTTTATTTTTTTCTCTTGAAATTTGAAATTGCTGTTTACTTTATATTTGTAACAAAATCAGCACTCACAGTACACCTCCATCCAAGGGCTATTACTATTAATTTTTTATTTAAAATTAGTGATACTTTTATTTAAAATACCAGACAATAAATTTTACCCAAAACCCATTTTACTTTTTGACTTCCCAAGCAGTGGCATTAGTGGTTGTGTGCAAGCTTCTAAGAATCACCATATTCCTAACTTGTGCTACATGCAATGTTGCTACAGGGAGGTCCATCCCTCAAAAGCAAGGGAAAGGCAAGTAATGCGACAAGGATTGCGGTGTTGACTTGGAGATCATTATTGATTATGTCAAGGGAGTGGAAATACTACTGGCTTCGGCTGATTCTCTATATGCTTCTTACACTTTGTGTTAGTACCGTGTTTTCCGGATTAGGGCATTCCTTGTCATCTGTTGCGGTGAGTTTCATAAATTCTAGTGTAACTCATTAAACAAGCTAAATTATAATTTTAAAAGTATGCAGTATTGTCATGGGAACCTTGTATTCTTAATTAATTGAACTTTGTATTGGTACCGGGTTTTAATTGGTGGGAACCTTGTATTCTTAATTAATTGAACTCTGCATTGGTACTGGGTTTTGATTGGAGACATTGTTTACGGAAGAATGACTTTAAATTGTTCCTCCAGAATGCAGTCCTCTTCAATGTAAATTTTGGAGTGAAGTCCCAAAGTGCCATGTTGAGTGCCTTGTGGCAGTTTCATACTACAGTGACAAATGAATACGTCAAATTGTGACGATGATACGACAAATAATTAGTCAAGGTTCTTTTTATGCTTGTTCCTGATTCTGAAACCTAAAGATTTTCATGGCCACCAATTGAACTCTTGGTTTTGGATTCTCTATGCAAAACCAAGATTTGAGGGATGTTGGTTGCATCATGTAGCCTGGCAGAGTGAAATGTGTTTATAGTATCCCCATCGATTCATCTGACTTGAATGGACTTGTATTTTACACTCCTGTTAATCAATGCTCTGTGTGTGTGTGTGTGTGCGCGCGCTCTATGTCCATATGGGGGGGATTAATTTTTTAATCATCTTTCTGCTTCCTGCAATCATTTATTTGCAACTGCTCTTTCTGTTTCATTTGTAACAACCACGATCATTTTTCATTCTTCGTCTCTGAAATTTCAGACTAGAGTTGCAGCGATATTTGTGTTTGTATCATTTACTTCACTGCTAAGCATTGCTGGAGAACCTGCGCAGAGGAAAGAAATCAAGGTAATAAGGTTGCTTATTTTTGTCAATTTTCCTTCAAGTCACATGAGAAATTGCTTCATTTTTGTGGGAGGTTGTCTCACTTGACAAATTTTGCTACTTTTAGTATGAGCATGTTTGAATCAAAACTTTTGGGAAAACTTTTCCTAATTGGTAACAATAATTAGCGATGACATATGCACAAAACATCAAGATCAGAGAAACTTACTTATAATGCATTAACTAGTCCTCGAATTTTTCCACCTTGTATATGCTTTTGCTGTACAATCTTAGTAACATGAGTACCTTTTTTTTTTAAGTTTTTTATTTAACATGAATACCTCACAATGGATCTAGGGGGTGTAAGGGGTGACCGCTGGCTCCCTCCAACAAATAAAGGCCTGAAAATCCCTTAGTTTGCAAGGAGTTTGTCCTCCCAAGCCTATATCTTGGTTATCAGTTTGTGCAACGTCCTTCTGATCTTACATTAAGTCCAAAGCTTTCTTGTTGTGATGAGGCCAAGATTAAGGAACAAAGTGAAGAGAGCATGATAGATAGAATGTCCAAACAATCAAGCAAAGCAGACAACAATTAACCCAAAGCCTATGTCCGTGGGTGAAGATGATTAAGAAATCATAGAGGAGAAAATAAGATTATAAGATGGCTATCCTCTATGCCATTTTCACCTCAACACAGGGTTGAGATATAAAAACTATCAACCTGCAATATACGGATGGGGCTAACCCTATATTTGCATGTTTGCGAATGTGCTATGTTTAGGCTCACATGTTTTTCATTTCACTTCCCTAGTCAATCTAGAATGACCATTGCACAAAATAGAAAAATTATACATGATGTGTCCTTGGCGAGGATGGTCAAATCACACTATACCTGCTTTTAGTTGAAAGCAAATACGGTTGTGCCGTTTAGGTCTCCCAAGACCAAATTAGTAATAACTAGTTTTTTTAAAGTAAAGTTGTTGGGATAGGGGACTCATATTCAGAGTATGGAGAGTTAAATCAGGCCCAAGAGGATAATGGGCCAGTTGTCAGAGCGTGAGCGAATTAGGGTTCAGGATTCTCTACTTAGGGTTGTAACATATATAAGTTAAGTTGTAACCCTAATTCAGTGTGGAATAAAAAACAAGGCAACCGCTCTAGGATTGTGAACATAGGCTATTGCCAAATCACATAAATATTTGTGTTTTTCTTCTATTATTCTGTTTCATTGATTGCCCATCACGCACACGAATCACAACAACTGACATGAAATGTTTTCAAATGTCCAAAAGAAAATCCTCTTCGTGTCTAGTTTTGCACAAAGTCCTCATAGATTTTGTGGTTGGGCAATGAAGTTTGGATGATGGCGAACATGTTTGAAGTAGAAGGGAGAGATGAATGGGGTTAATTATAGTTTTCACCCTTAAAGTATCACCTGATTCCAACTTCCTTCCCCCAACTTTCGAAATACTGTAATAAACNTGGCGAACATGTTTGAAGTAGAAGGGAGAGATGAATGGGGTTAATTATAGTTTTCACCCTTAAAGTATCACCTGATTCCAACTTCCTTCCCCCAACTTTCGACATACTGTAATAAACACTGTCCTATAAATAACAGTAGTTGGATTTTTCATGGAAAAAATGCAGATGTAATTTTTCATGATGATATGTGGCACTTGATGTACACATGCCATTTTTTGTGATGATGCATGGTACTTTCCATCAGGCTTTTTACAGAGTCATTGACTTGATTGAATTGACACTTCCGAAAGTTGCATGATGAAATTGACTGAATAAACACTTTNATGTACACATGCCATTTTTTGTGATGATGCATGGTACTTTCCATCAGGCTTTTTACGGAGTCATTGACTTGATTGAATTGACACTTCCGAAAGTTGCATGATGAAATTGACTGAATAAACACTTTGAGGGTGAAAAGTGTAATTAACCTCAGAATTATGTTGAGACAGAAAGATCCATGGCAAATTTTCTGATTGAATGTATAGTCATAGAACTGTTTCCCATGGTATAGAAGTTCAACATAAATTTCTTTGCTTGGGTACTTCTGTGTTCCTACTAGGGTATCTGAACCACAATGGATAATTATGGACAACAAATGGCATTTATGAATTTTGTCAAGCATTACTACTTCCTTCTGAGCAGCTGCAAAATTGCATTCTTGAAGTACCTTCTATTGGGTAGTGGACCTTATATATTTGCTTCTATATAACACAGATATATGCCTGCGAAGAATCAAACCGGCATTCAGGGGCATTGGTTTTCTTGCTTGGGCAACTCTTCTCCAGTATCCCGTTCTTGTTTCTCATCTCCATTTCATCAAGCCTCGTCTTCTATTTCCTTGTGGGTCTGCGAGATGAGTTCAGCTTTCTTATGTATTTTGTGCTGAATATCTTCATGTGCCTTTTAGTTAACGAGGGACTAGTGCTTGTTGCTGCTTCCATTTGGCAAGATAGTTTCTGGAGCATCTTAACGTTGGTGTCCATACATGTGAGTTCTACGGTACTCGAGTGTGTTGAAGTTATTATTTTGATTTGGTCGCAGTCCAAATAAGCATTCTTGCTTTTGTTTGCTATTTCTGTGTAAGCCTGTGTACATGGTTGTATGTGTGGGTCGCTAGCTATATGTTAATGTGGCTGCAGGTGTGGGTAGGTGGAAGGATTTCACCCGTGGTGGTTGGAGTTGTCTTGGAGATTCAATTCAGCATTTTCATGTGGATTTTTCTTTATTTACAGGATTGGATGACACAGCCACATTTAATTTTACTTTTGATGTGTCGTCAATAATCAGTGATGATATGGGGACCCCTAGTTTCAACTTTATGGGACCCAAATTTGAACTGAAGAGTTCAATTTTCGGCCAAGTTAATGGCCTAGCTTTCTGTAATCTGACAATGTTTATCTATGACATATCAGGTGGTAATGATGCTTTCTGCTGGCTATTTCCGAATTCGGAGTGCTTTGCCTAGACCTGTATGGATGTATCCAGTATCCTATATTGCTTTCCACACTTACTCTATTCAGGCAAGTTGAATCTTTGTGTTTCTTCATGCCACTTGATCACCATGCCATTTGGTTATGTGCTTCACAAATTTTGCAATTATTAATATATGGGCAACTTGGANTCAGGCAAGTTGAATCTTTGTGTTTCTTCATGCCACTTGATCACCATGCCATTTGGATATGTGCTTCACAAATTTTGCAATTATTAATATATGGGCAACTTGAACCCTACTCAATTTGTTGTTGGGAAAAAATGTTTTGTCAATGTTGTATTTCGTTCTTCCTTTAAGTAATTTTTTGTTGTAATTTGGAACAATTAGCAAGATAATGATAATGACGATGATCTACAATGGTGGTTGTTTCTCTTGAATGTAACGAGCAAATTATAAAAGAGTAGGATGATGGGGATAATAATTCATAATTATTCTTATTTATTGTTTTGTTTATGCTGCTGATGATGATGATCAAGTTGATCTAAAAAATCTGTACCCACCTTGTTATTCAGGGGCTTTTGGAGAATGAATACATTGGAGCATCTTTTGCCGTTGGGCAGGTAAGGACCATATCCGGGGATCAGGCTCTTCATAATGTATACGATCTCTCTTCTGGCAGTAATTCTAAGTGGGGGAATTTACTGGTATTGTTTCTTATGGCTGTTGGGTACCGCATTATTGTGTTTGTTGTGCTGCTACTTCGTGTCAGAAAGAACTTATTAGCATGTAAGTTTTTACAGTGCAATCGAGATAAAAACAATCCAAGATAAATGAAATACTCTCTGCCCTGTTGGATTGTGAAAATTATGTGGATTCTTATCTTGTTGCTATTTTTTGCTACAATTCAGTTAGCCTAGTGTTTCTCATTAGTTCTGGTAATGATGGTAAAAATTATCAAATAATTCTAGCAATGCATGTTGAAGCTCCTGAGGTTTCTCGAGCCGAGACTTCCACTCGTGCCTTCTCTGAAATTGCTCCTAGCTTATAGCCAATTTGACCACCCAAAATAATTCTAGACTTGGCAGCTCAAGTGATTATAAGAAGCTGATTGTCCCAAAGCCGCCGGGTTTAGAACAAATCATCTTCAAAGATCCCATTCTCTGTTTAGCTGAGGAGAGTAGTATATACAGTGGGATGATTTTGGATTTGTTGAAGTGCAAGAGTTAGGCAACAGCATACATGGAAAAGGTGGAATTGTGTATAGTTATTGATCATCCAAAGGATGTAGAAAGTGGAAGGGCTCACGGGGTCGATCCTGCCTCGGCATTTTTTTGCATTCTGTGTGCAAGTTAGAGGGGTAACACTCCTGTTCATTTGATCGATTTAATAATATAGATTAAATCATTATCTTACACAGTGTAGTTTCTATAGCAATGAGTCTGGGTCTAGTGAGGTTTTGCTTTTTTGGGAATCGTTTTGCTAGGAAGAAGGATTGAGTTGCACTTGGTTTGCTCCTAGTTTGACCTAGTAATGTGTTACTTCCTCTAATTCAAAAATCAATACACAAAATACTCTAGATAATATTTTTAAGGGTATGAAATTCATTTTAATATGTTATTTCATTAGAACTTATTGACTATTGATTAAATTTCTAACGGTTTCAATTTGATTCAAGCATTCCGCATAGGTTTTAAACTATAGGGATGGAATGTGTTCCTCGATCAAATTACAAGTAGAGAATCCAAATTTTTGGTATTTCTTTCTTTCTTCTCTTTTTTTGGAGTAAGTATTAGGTGTAACACTGATATCACGTTATCACGGACATGTTATCATTTAATAATAAATTTACAAGTGGACAAGGTGAATTTTACTTGATACTTATTTTCAGGTGTTGGATGGTTACCAAATGACATGGAGGGGTAATTGTTATAATATGCAAGACTCACTTGCTTATTTATTATGTTCTTATTGAACGGTGACATTATGTGACGATAATTATTGAATGGTGACACTACGTGACGTGACGATGATGATGCAGTGTTATAAGAGTAGTGTACTGTAACCATCCTTCGATGCAAAGTGTTTCCAATAAAATATAAAACAACAAAAGGACATAANATACATGGAAAAGGTGGAATTGTGTATAGTTATTGATCATCCAAAGGATGTAGAAAGTGGAAGGGCTCACGGGGTCGATCCTGCCTCGGCATTTATTTGCATTCTGTGTGCAAGTTAGAGGGGTAACACTCCTGTTCATTTGATCGATTTAATAATATAGATTAAATCATTATCTTACACAGTGTAGTTTCTATAGCAATGAGTCTGGGTCTAGTGAGGTTTTGCTTTTTTGGGAATCGTTTTGCTAGGAAGAAGGATTGAGTTGCACTTGGTTTGCTCCTAGTTTGACCTAGTAATGTGTTACTTCCTCTAATTCAAAAATCAATACACAAAATACTCTAGATAATATTTTTAAGGGTATGAAATTCATTTTAATATGTTATTTCATTAGAACTTATTGACTATTGATTAAATTTCTAACGGTTTCAATTTGATTCAAGCATTCCGCATAGGTTTTAAACTATAGGGATGGAATGTGTTCCTCGATCAAATTACAAGTAGAGAATCCAAATTTTTGGTATTTCTTTCTTTCTTCTCTTTTTTTGGAGTAAGTATTAGGTGTAACACTGATATCACGTTATCACGGACATGTTATCATTTAATAATAAATTTACAAGTGGACAAGGTGAATTTTACTTGATACTTATTTTCAGGTGTTGGATGGTTACCAAATGACATGGAGGGGTAATTGTTATAATATGCAAGACTCACTTGCTTATTTATTATGTTCTTATTGAAAGATGACATTACGTGACGATGATTATTAAATGGTGACACTACGTGACGTGACGTGACGATGATGATGCAGTGTTATAAGAGTAGTGTACTGTAACCATCCTTTGATGCAAAGTGTTTCCAATAAAATATAAACAACAAAAGGACATTACAACTACCACACATTCAATGGACTTGGTCCACATTCATAGAGATCAGCTAATCCCCAGTAATACAATTATTATTGGGAGCAATGAAGACCAAGTCAATCTGTTCAAGCACCATTGGACAGACACTGCGTTTGTGTCTGGGTATTGGCCCCACTTTTCTTTTGAATACTGACCTTTAGGTCTGCAATGAATTGATCCATGTTTTTCTCTGATGATCCATTGGCCGTTGATGCAGTCTCCAATGTCTTTTTCACCATCTTGATCTGGTTCCTGAATTCATCTGTTGATTTTCCACTCATCAAACGGTTGATTTTGTCCGAAACTTCAGCAGCTTTGATTGGCTTTCTTTCGCAAAGATTGAGCCCAATCTTCCAATCATCGACCATTAATCTTCGATTCGTGAATTGATCAGTCAGAAGAGGGAAACACAGCAATGGCACTTCACACCAAATGCTTTCCAATACCGAGTTCCAACCACAGTGAGTTAAGAACCCTCCGATTGAAGGATGCGTCAGCACTTGTTTTTGGCTGCACCAAGGTATGATCATCGCACGATCACCTACCTCCTCCTTAAATCCATCGGGCAGTGGATCAACATCATCAGAGCTCACGATATCAGGCCGAAGCACCCAAATAAAACTAACCTTACTAAGCAATAAACCATTGGCTATCTCTGTCAGATCATTTTTTGTAACATGAGCATAGCTACCAAATGACAGATACAAAACTGCGCCATGAGGCCTAGAGTTGAGCCATTGGGTGCAGTCAGACTCGGACCACAGGCTCGTAGCCACAATGCTTTTGGTGAACTCAGATGGGAAGATGGGTCCAATAGCAAAGAATGGCATTTTGGTCTGTAGAGCTGATATGGTGTTGGGTTCAAGCTCTTGTATGGTGTTGCACAGCACAAAATCTGCAGCCTTGACATCTTTGAATGCACTGAAGATTATTTGGTGGCACACCGTTGATGTATCCGACTCTTGGAGATACGACATCATGTCCTTTGGATCAATCGACTGGACACCAGGGATGTAATCTATTGGGTCCTCGCGCATTTCTGGTCATAAGAAATCTCGAATTAGTCTTTGTTGATATGGAGTTTTGAGAGTAGGTTGGTTGAAGTTCGGGTGAAATTTGTGAACCTCGTTCAAACACAATCGTGCGATGAAGATTGTGCGATAAATACAATGATATAATTAGTGCAAACATTGAGGTCTTAGTCTATGCACAACTAATGCAGATTGGACCAATGTAAGATTAAAGTGGAGATAACAGTCAAATACAACTAATCATGTATCATTTTCTATTGGAATTGGTATCTGCCTCTACGGTGGAGTCTTTCATGTAAGTTCGGAAGGGCATTGAATAATAAATTCCACATTAATCAAGTGAATGATTGAAAAAAATAAGGATAAATTACATTCAGACCTCCTAAATTTTGTCACTAAACTACATAAACCCCCTCAGATACAACATATTACACTGACACCCCCTCAAACTTTTATCGTGTATAACACAGATTCTATCGTTAAAACTCGTTCGAAACACCGTCAAATTTTACTGATGTCAACATATTTTAAAATTTTAATTCCTAAAATACCCTTATAGAATTAATTAGTAATAATCCATCTTCCCTTCTCTTTGTTTCTCTTTCTCACGTCCAGGCAAAACAATTTTCATGGGCTTCGCCCCTTCCAAAGCTCATCTCTCTCCTCGAGACCAAAGATGTCGGGTTACCCCCACAACTCGCCGAATACGACAACGGTTACGGTGCCCCACCATCCCAACTCTACTCCTCCGCCCTTTACGGCGCTCCACCACCAGGCCAACCATACGCCGCCCCACCACTGCCTCATGTTTATTTTGAGCCCAAACATAATCACCAAATTAGAGCCCCATAAACACGACCGCTCTGTCGATCGCATAACCACCACCATCCCCCAAAAATGACCACACTGCCACCACCACCCATTACCACTTGCAATAAACTCACTATGTCCCAACATAGTCACGCTGCCACCACCACCACAAACTACCAAAAATTGCAACCCACTTCCACCGCCACAAATCACAAAAAACTTGCAACCCACTTTCACCGCCACCGATAAGGCCATAACCACTACAAACCCAACGTGCCCCCACACCAATTGCACTGCCACCACCAGATCTTTGTTGATTGGCTGACCGATACAAGAATTCCAAAAATCGCAACCCACTGCCACCACCACTCATATCCAACCATTACAAACCATTGTGCCCAACACACACACGCAGAGATTAATTGCAATGGCACAACCACACCAAACCCCAAAATCACAACTCAACTGTGTGCGGTTGTGTGTGAGAAGATCACGAAAAAGAGGAGGCGTATGAGAGGAAGAAGATGGGAAGGGGTGGGTTTCATTTGGCAGCGAGTTAGGGTTGGGGTAGGCACTTGGGGGCGTTGAGGTGGGTGGATGGGGGATGGTGGGTTGAAACATTGGTGGAGTTAATAGTATGGTTGAAGGCAAGTGGGTGGGCATGGTGGTCCGCCGGAGTTGGGACAAGCCACGGGGTGGGTTTCATTTGGTGTTGGCAGCAAGTTAGGGTTGGGGTAGGCACTTGGGGGCGTTGGGGTGAGAGGATGGTGGGTTGCGTCACTGGTGGAGTTCATAGCGTGGTCGGAGGCAGGTGGTGGGCATGGTGATGAGCCGGAGTTGGCACAGTGGTTTTGAGGAAGATGAAGTGGTGGGGTTATTTTTGGATTTGAGGTTGTTTGTATATGGATCGTGACAATTCTATGGTAGGAATAAGTTGTCCAAGGTTAAGTTTATTTGGGTTATCGGTAAGGGTTAATTAGTCTTTTCAATTTTTCTGTTTGCGCCGTTTGGAAACCGTTGTTGTGAGGGGGTGTTAGTGTAAATTACCATACCTGAGGGGGTCTAGGTGTATTAGTGACAAACCTCAGGGGTCTAAATATAATTTATCCAAAAAACTAAAGAGTAGAGCACTGTGGTGGTTTTAGATCCCCCCAGTGTGGAAATGAGCAATTAGGACGTGTTTGGATGTCTCTTTTTTTTCTCAACTTTTTTGATGTCCTTTTTGGACATGAATATACTTTTCCAATGTCATAAGAAGTGGAATGAAAGCATTTTACAATTCAAAGGACACCCAAACAGGCCCCTAAATGTAACAAAATACGGGAAGACCATAACCACTGTTCAATTATATTTGGGGAGAGAGAGAGAGTTACCAATACAACCAAAGTGGCCATGTATCCTCAGAAGGTCCAGGTGATAATACAGTGTAAAAACTAAGGCCGGCTCTGTCCAGAAAGATATATACAGAAGCCCGTACTTCCTTGCCAGCTTCCCCGGCCACACAAAGAACGTATCGGCGATCAAACAACTCACCAGCGGTTCCGACCTCACAATCTTCTCCACCGCCTCCTCCACATGGGCAGAGAACACATGCAACAAAGTAGCCATGAACTGGTCATGGTTTAGCGACCGGTCGAACCCCACAGGAAGGCCGTCCGGCACGGTGGTGTAACGGATGTCGAGACCCTTTTGCCGGACGGTGGCAAACATGTCATCTTCGCCATCGGGTTGGGCTCTGGAGGTTTGGTGGTGTATGGAGTGTGTGTTGATGACGGTTATGGTGAAGCCTCTTTCTGCAAGTTTGATGGCTAAGTGGACAGATGGGATAACATGGCCTTGTAATGGGTAGAATACGAAGATTGCGTGAGGCTTTTGGTGTCTTTCTTCCATTGTTTTCAGCAGAAAGAGAGAGAATATGTTGTAAATATTCAAAGCTGGTATTCAGCTTAGTCTCATTGAATAGGCCTTGCATCCTCTAGGTGAATGACACTGCCTAATTTTCGGGGAATCTTTGGATAAGAATGGTCTGCAAGCCTTCACCGCACATTAAACTAGAATGTAAAAACGGGTTTTATCCTGTACGGCACAAGTTTGACTTGAAAAAAAGTATAATCAGATTGTATAATCAATTGTAGCATTTAGCTTCATAATACATAATTAAAAAGAGTAATAATATGTAAACTTAAAAATTACTTGATAACTCAATTATTGATTTTATTATGGTCTCAGTATTTATTGGAATCCACTATCTATTTAATAATTAAGATTATCAAATCTAATTTTTAAGTGTAATTTTTAGATCCATCTAACATTAATCAATTAAATTCCCTTTCATTACTGACAAAAGAAAAATTGCAAGAATATAACCAGTGCAGTGCTTGGAAAGGCAGTTAATTTTTTTTTTTTTTGTTTCAACGGTGAGGGTGTCCGAATCAGTTGGATGTGAGACCCATCAAACATTAGAATTTAGTGTTAATTCAATGACTTTATTGAAATCACATTATTATATCAATAAATTATATCAAATTTTTAGGTTTAAATATTATTACTTTTCCTTTTTTGGTTCGGTTAAAAACAAATTCTCTACACTAACACTAATGTTTCGTTTGGTAAGAAGGATAAAAAGTAAGGAGAATGGAAAGTATGAGAGATACACTTTCTATCCTTCAAGAAAGGAAAATAGAAATGATACATTTTTCTTCCTTTGTGTTTGGTTGGATGGATGAAAAATAAAAATAATTAATTTTATTTTTTGTGCTGACAAAAATTAGGGATGAAAATCGAGTCGTGTCGTGTCAGATTTGTGTTAAATCATTACGAGTTTGTGTTGAACATTAGTCAAACTTAACTCAATTTATTTAACTAATTATATCGTGTCGAGTTACAAGTTGACCTGTTTATTTTTTTATCGTGTTCATGTTTGTATTCGTGTTGCCCAATTTTTAATTAAAAAATAAATCCAAATTTTTAATTAAGATGGAAAAAATATTTTTTTTAATTTAAAATTTTTATTTATATATACATATTTTATCATTGTATTTTTATATGAAATTAATGTATACGAAATATATGTTGTAGAGGCAAAAAATCAGAGATACCTTTGATGGTGAATTTGCGATGTGATTTCTAGAAAAGAATACTGAATAATCTTCAAATTTTTTTTTCTGTAAAACGAACAAACTGCCCAAAATCGAAGTGCTTCGATCGAAGGCACTCTAATGTTTAAGTCAGTAATGGAACAGAGAGAATTGCATTAAGATAAGGAGAATTCAGCGTACCTTTCACCTTGGTCTTTTGTGCTTTTTATATTTAACTTTCCATCTATCGTTTTAAACAGCTCGGACATGTCGAACGCCGAGCACACTTGACATTTTTCAAACAGATCAAGAAACTTAGTTTGGTAAAAACTGATTTCTTCAATTACTTTGCTGAGCACTTTGATGGACTCGACTTGGTACAAGTCGAGCTCTTACCCTGTTTAGTTGAACGGGCTGATGAGTTCGACTCAGTTAGAAAGCTCTTAGTGAAAGATTCTTCATCACGTGGCTGGTCTTATCAACATCATGTGAACACATTTAATGCTATGTCACGTATAATCATGAGGTTTAACCCCTTCATATGTATATATCAAAAGATATATAGACAAATAAGATACATCTTAATACAAATAATTAACTTTTCATCAACTTTCCTTCCAATTTTGAAGAGATTGATTTTGGTGAGTTGGAAGGAAAATAATTCATCTACTTTTTGATCTTTTCTATTTTTTTTCCCTACCAAACATGATTTTTCTTATCCCTCCAATTTTCTATCCTTTCAACTTTCTATTATACCAAATGGAGCATAAGGTATTTATGAGAGATAAATTTCTCATAACCTGATATTAAAAGATTATCAAAATTCAAATTTAAAATATATTAATTTTTAATTTGTCGGTGGTACATCTTTATCTACCATGTGGGGTTAAAGGCGGTTCATTAGTCTATGGTTGGAATTAGGGGTATCAATCGTGTCGTGTCGTATCACTTTCGGTCGTGTTATTTTCGTGTCGTATTATTTTTGGTACGTGCCGGGTTCGTGTCGATATTCGTGTTAATAAAAAATTATTTAATTTGACAACGACTAATATAATATTATTTAAAAAATTATAAAATTCTTATTTTTTATCTAAAATACTTATTAAATAATTATTTTTTATCTACGGTACTCATTAATCATGTTATTCGTGTCGAACCTTAATTTGACCCATTAATTTCTTATGTCAATGAATCGTGTTATTTTTGAGTTCATGTCGAATTCGGTTCGAATCAGGTTCGTAATCTAGTTAAAAATTAACACCCTAGTTGGAATATCCTACAATCATGACATGGAGGGCCCAGTAGTAACCTCCAATTATTGGATGTACAAAATTTATTTTTTTAAGGAAAAGGTAGTCAAGAGTAGTTGTAAGTCCACATATTTTATAATCTTTTCTTTTGCTGAACAAATGAACTCAACTTTTCCGGGAAAAAAAAACTTTTTTTTGTTGGAAAATNAACAACTACCACACATTCAATGGACTTGGTCCACATTCATAGAGATCAGCTAATCCCCAGTAATACAATTATTATTGGGAGCAATGAAGACCAAGTCAATCTGTTCAAGCACCATTGGACAGACACTGCGTTTGTGTCTGGGTATTGGCCCCACTTTTCTTTTGAATACTGACCTTTAGGTCTGCAATGAATTGATCCATGTTTTTCTCTGATGATCCATTGGCCGTTGATGCAGTCTCCAATGTCTTTTTCACCATCTTGATCTGGTTCCTGAATTCATCTGTTGATTTTCCACTCATCAAACGGTTGATTTTGTCCGAAACTTCAGCAGCTTTGATTGGCTTTCTTTCGCAAAGATTGAGCCCAATCTTCCAATCATCGACCATTAATCTTCGATTCGTGAATTGATCAGTCAGAAGAGGGAAACACAGCAATGGCACTTCACACCAAATGCTTTCCAATACCGAGTTCCAACCACAGTGAGTTAAGAACCCTCCGATTGAAGGATGCGTCAGCACTTGTTTTTGGCTGCACCAAGGTATGATCATCGCACGATCACCTACCTCCTCCTTAAATCCATCGGGCAGTGGATCAACATCATCAGAGCTCACGATATCAGGCCGAAGCACCCAAATAAAACTAACCTTACTAAGCAATAAACCATTGGCTATCTCTGTCAGATCATTTTTTGTAACATGAGCATAGCTACCAAATGACAGATACAAAACTGCGCCATGAGGCCTAGAGTTGAGCCATTGGGTGCAGTCAGACTCGGACCACAGGCTCGTAGCCACAATGCTTTTGGTGAACTCAGATGGGAAGATGGGTCCAATAGCAAAGAATGGCATTTTGGTCTGTAGAGCTGATATGGTGTTGGGTTCAAGCTCTTGTATGGTGTTGCACAGCACAAAATCTGCAGCCTTGACATCTTTGAATGCACTGAAGATTATTTGGTGGCACACCGTTGATGTATCCGACTCTTGGAGATACGACATCATGTCCTTTGGATCAATCGACTGGACACCAGGGATGTAATCTATTGGGTCCTCGCGCATTTCTGGTCATAAGAAATCTCGAATTAGTCTTTGTTGATATGGAGTTTTGAGAGTAGGTTGGTTGAAGTTCGGGTGAAATTTGTGAACCTCGTTCAAACACAATCGTGCGATGAAGATTGTGCGATAAATACAATGATATAATTAGTGCAAACATTGAGGTCTTAGTCTATGCACAACTAATGCAGATTGGACCAATGTAAGATTAAAGTGGAGATAACAGTCAAATACAACTAATCATGTATCATTTTCTATTGGAATTGGTATCTGCCTCTACGGTGGAGTCTTTCATGTAAGTTCGGAAGGGCATTGAATAATAAATTCCACATTAATCAAGTGAATGATTGAAAAAAATAAGGATAAATTACATTCAGACCTCCTAAATTTTGTCACTAAACTACATAAACCCCCTCAGATACAACATATTACACTGACACCCCCTCAAACTTTTATCGTGTATAACACAGATTCTATCGTTAAAACTCGTTCGAAACACCGTCAAATTTTACTGATGTCAACATATTTTAAAATTTTAATTCCTAAAATACCCTTATAGAATTAATTAGTAATAATCCATCTTCCCTTCTCTTTGTTTCTCTTTCTCACGTCCAGGCAAAACAATTTTCATGGGCTTCGCCCCTTCCAAAGCTCATCTCTCTCCTCGAGACCAAAGATGTCGGGTTACCCCCACAACTCGCCGAATACGACAACGGTTACGGTGCCCCACCATCCCAACTCTACTCCTCCGCCCTTTACGGCGCTCCACCACCAGGCCAACCATACGCCGCCCCACCACTGCCTCATGTTTATTTTGAGCCCAAACATAATCACCAAATTAGAGCCCCATAAACACGACCGCTCTGTCGATCGCATAACCACCACCATCCCCCAAAAATGACCACACTGCCACCACCACCCATTACCACTTGCAATAAACTCACTATGTCCCAACATAGTCACGCTGCCACCACCACCACAAACTACCAAAAATTGCAACCCACTTCCACCGCCACAAATCACAAAAAACTTGCAACCCACTTTCACCGCCACCGATAAGGCCATAACCACTACAAACCCAACGTGCCCCCACACCAATTGCACTGCCACCACCAGATCTTTGTTGATTGGCTGACCGATACAAGAATTCCAAAAATCGCAACCCACTGCCACCACCACTCATATCCAACCATTACAAACCATTGTGCCCAACACACACACGCAGAGATTAATTGCAATGGCACAACCACACCAAACCCCAAAATCACAACTCAACTGTGTGCGGTTGTGTGTGAGAAGATCACGAAAAAGAGGAGGCGTATGAGAGGAAGAAGATGGGAAGGGGTGGGTTTCATTTGGCAGCGAGTTAGGGTTGGGGTAGGCACTTGGGGGCGTTGAGGTGGGTGGATGGGGGATGGTGGGTTGAAACATTGGTGGAGTTAATAGTATGGTTGAAGGCAAGTGGGTGGGCATGGTGGTCCGCCGGAGTTGGGACAAGCCACGGGGTGGGTTTCATTTGGTGTTGGCAGCAAGTTAGGGTTGGGGTAGGCACTTGGGGGCGTTGGGGTGAGAGGATGGTGGGTTGCGTCACTGGTGGAGTTCATAGCGTGGTCGGAGGCAGGTGGTGGGCATGGTGATGAGCCGGAGTTGGCACAGTGGTTTTGAGGAAGATGAAGTGGTGGGGTTATTTTTGGATTTGAGGTTGTTTGTATATGGATCGTGACAATTCTATGGTAGGAATAAGTTGTCCAAGGTTAAGTTTATTTGGGTTATCGGTAAGGGTTAATTAGTCTTTTCAATTTTTCTGTTTGCGCC